AGAGCAGGTTGCTCAAGGCTTTAGCCAACCTGGCTGTGAACACTGCCAGGGTTGGGGCAGCCACAGCCTCCCTGGGCAACCCGTGCCACTGTCTCACCACCCTCACAGGGAAAACTTCTGCATAAGAGCTAATCCAAACTTCCCAGTTTATCCCCGTTACTCCTTGTCCTGTCACTGCAGTGAGAGGGATGGAGGTGGGAGCACAAGGGGCAGGGATGGCAGTGGGAGCTCAGGGGATAGGGATAGAGGTGGGAGCTCAGGGGAAGGGGATAGGGATGGGATGGGAGCACAAGGGGCAGGGATGGATGGCAGTGGGAGCTCAGGGGATAGGGATGGAGGTGGGAGCACAAGGGGCAGGGATGGATGGCAGTGGGAGCTCGGGGCAGCCCCCCCGAGCACAGGGTCCCCTTTTCACTATCCCTTTCTCTCTGGGCCCCACAGACTTCTCCCTCCCACCACTAGATTGCAAGGACAGCTTCTGTAGGAAACGAGGGTGTAAAACAAGGCTGTTTCCAGGCTGCTCTCTTGTCCGTAATCTCCCTCCTCCACAGCTGCTGTCTCTGCCTGACACTCTGCGGCCGTGCCTCAGCAGAGGGAGAGCCCCTTGTCCCGTGCCTTGGCCTCCCTTCCCTTCCTTCCCTCCCCGTGTCCTCCTGAGTCATCATCTGGAGACTCTCCATGTGGTCTGGCCTCAGGAGGAACAGCAGAGAGGAGAGGGGGACAGGGCTTTGTGCAGGGCACAGTCAGAGCGTGGTGTGCCCTGACCCAGCAGAGCATCACCCCCTCTGCCCTGGCCACAGCCACAGGCTCTCAGGGGAGGTTAAATCAGGTGGTTTAGCACCAGGTCTCTGCTTTTCTGATAGATTTGGCAACTTTTTAACACTCACAGCATTTCTGCATTGTTTGAGGCAGCTGATTGAGTGTGAATGACATGAGATAAGGTTTAGGGATTGCAGTGGAGTGACAGGTGAACAGTTGGACTTGATGATCTTAGAGGTCTTCCAGCCTCGATGATTCTGTGAATCATCTTATTCTATCCTTAGAGAATCTAAGAATTCTATCCTTAGAGATCTCTTCCAGCCTCGATGATTCTATGAATCTGTTGAGATGCCCACACACAGGACAGTCTGAGGGTGATCTCTCTCCAGCACCTCCACACTTCCTAAAATCCAAAGATGTGGTAAAAAGGGAATATCCTTGGCTCATCCATAGGGAAACTGAACACACTGGGTAAATGCTGACCTTGCTGTCTAACTGGGAAAGGCCTGTGAAGTAACACAGATTTTGCTTAGATCGACACCTTCCATCCCCTTCAGGGAATCAGATGCTGCCCGTTCCCGGGAATCTGAGCAGTAAATGGATTTGTAGGAAGCTGCTCCTGTGGGATCATAAAGGGCCAAGGTGGGTTTTAAAAGCACAGGCCCGGAGCTGCTAGAGAGGAGAGACATTCCTTTGGCCCCGGGGCAGGATTGTCTCACCAGGAAGGAAAGGAGCTGTGAAACCTTTTGCATTTGTAAAGTTGTGCAAATCACATTTCTGTTCTTTTTTCTCTCCTCTCTCCTGCCTCGAAGGCGGCAGACTGTGACCAGCACTCCCTGCTGGATCGAGCTGCACCTCAACGGCCCCTTGCAGTGGCTGGACAAGGTCCTCACCCAGATGGGCTCCCCCAGCATCCGCTGCTCCAGTGTCTCCTAAGGAAACTGCTCCTGGGAGTGTGGGGGGAGCAAAGACTCGGGAAAACCCTTAGCAAAATGCATAGTAAACGAATTCCCAGTTATTCAAGCGATGAGACAAGTGGGTTTTCTTTCTTTTGTCGTTGTTTTTGTTAAATGCCCATTTAAGCCACTTCCACTGAAACTGTTGGCACTTCGGCTGCGCCGCCACAGGCTGTGGCACTCGGAATTTGCAGCTGGAGTTTATCCTGATAAAAAAACTGGATGTTGTTTCAGCAGAGAGCAGGCAGTGCTCTGCCTGCAGCCACGTTGTGCCGGCTGTGTGAGCACACAGGAGACAGCACAGCTCGCAGGAATCTTCCCTTGGCCTCACAGCTCCAG